GAATGTTGTACAGCCAGTGGGCAATCAACTTTGCACTGGTATAAATGACTACTCAAGGTGCAGGGCAATGGGCCCAAGCTACTCTCCTTACAGAGGATTGCCTCGCTCCAGTTTGACAGTTCAAGCTGAAGGCAACCTCTATTATTTAGTTGTCTGTCTTCCCACATTTCCATGCTGCAGTTCAGTTAATTAGTACACTAGAACCTCAGAGTTACGAACACCAGAGTTACAAGGTGACCGGTCAATTACACACCTTATTTGGAACTAGAAATGTGCTTTTAGGTAACAGCAGAGACCCAAAAAAAAGCAAATACAGTACAGCAGTGTTTCCCAAAGTGGTAGGCCGCTTGTGTAGGGAAAGCCCCTGGTGGGCCTGGACAGTTTGTTTACCTGCCACGTCCGTGGGTCCAGCTGATTGCGGCTCTCACTGGCCACGGTTCGCTGCTCCAGGCCAATGGGAGCTGCTGGAAGCAGCATGGGCTGAGGGACGTACCTAAAGTGTGGTGCCCAGAATTGGACAAAATACTCTAGCTGAGGCCTCACCCGTGCAGACTAGAAGAGAACAATTATTTCCCATGCCTTACATATAGCTGTTAATATACCCCACAATATTAATCTTTTCCACAACTGTATTACATTGTTGACTCTCATTCAATTTGTGATCCACTATAAGCCCGAGATCCCAGTATTATCACCTAGCCACTTATTCCCCATCTTGTAGTTGTGTGCATGATTCTTCCTTCCTAAGTGAAGTGAATGTGAGCTGACAAAAGAAAAAGAGTGAAACAGAATTCAGAAAAAGTGGCAGAGAAAGAAAAATACTGAAATACTACTTCTACCACCTTTCACCTATAAAGCATCCAATGATCTCAAAGCATTTTTAAAAGATAGAGATCATCCCCATTTAGATTTTTTCTTTTTCTCTTCATTAGGTAAATTCTTATGGCTAGGACACTAATTAGTTCTATGGAGGGAACTTTGAAAGAGTACTAGTACTGTGTGTTCATGTAACATGTAGGGATTCAGGGCCATAGCAATGGATTATAGCAACTAGAAATATTTTGGATCTACCCGTCTTTGGGGCTGAGCCTGAAGGATACGGAGTATGGGAACTGTCCTACCTGGACATTAGTTTGCATGAATTTGTGAGAGTTAGCACGTGCTGTCCTTGTCCAAAACTTTTCTAGCCTTCTGTCCTATTGTACAGTTCACTTGGATGCCTGGCCATCACATTTTATCTGTAAATTAATTCCTGTACATATAAAAGCTTGTAAAGTTTTTTGGCACAAATGGTGCTACATAGCTAAGATATTAGCCTACAGTTCTTGTTCATGAGTTGCGTTGAAAAGAACATGGAGAATTTTGTTTTTTACTACTAACCTCTTTGTATGCAAACTAAAATTAATCAAGTTCTTAGGATGCTAAGGAAACTCATATTTAAGGCAGTCTTACAGTGCAATGCAAAACTGGACACGCTCAGGTATTCAACATACTGATGTTTAAGTCTAAGGCAGCCTCAACTGATTTTTTTGGTTTAATGTGAGACCTTTAAAGGCAATACGTAAGGGGGATTTTTTCTGTATTTTATGATGTATCGATATAGCCTGAAAGGGGTGTTTATTTTTCAGTTGAAATGGGATAACGGATCCATCTCTAAGATATCCAACAGGTCCTACAAAAGCCCTGAAGACAAGAGATGACATTCCTGCTACTGTATTTCTAAAATAAAAATAAGCAGAGCACACCCACAAAAATTTAGGCCTTCAATGTAATAAAGTAAAAAAAAAAAAAGACTTTTTAAAAATCCATTACAGGTCACCTTTAATATTCTTTAATGTAGGCTCTGGTGGGCGATACCTCTCACCCACGCCCTAAGCAGGGGAGAGAGTGAGACAACTGATCTGCATTTCTAATGCGTAAGTGAAAAATTTCATTCCAAATTACTGCCTGCAAAGTGACGTGTCAATTAATGTTGTACTAAGACTTAAAATAAAAGAATCTTTCAGGTGAGCTGGTTAACACACATACTAAAACTGTTTGTCAAACTGCTAAATGTGTAAAAAAATCTTGTCACACTGTTTTCTGAATCAGATTTCATTCAAGTGGCACATTTGTGAACAAAGGGAGTTTTCTACAGAGAAATTTAGCATTTGCTAATGTTTCCTGATAGTCTCTGAAATTGCCAAAAAATAAAATGTAATTGAACAGAGGCAAAGGACAAAAATATGCATTTTCATTGTTAGTGTCTCCCCAAAAATTGTTCTACATGTCTTTCTTCCTCTTTGAAATACGAGGAAGACTTGTCTGTCTTGGTGGAGGGCTCTTGGATATCTCAAATGTGTGCAGGAACGTGCAGCCCTGAATTGAAGAACGGGTGTTGAGCTCAGAGAACTTATTAATTATTCCATGTGTTTTAATTAGTAGTGCTTACTAGATCAGCCATAAGAGTATTCAGCCATGTGAATTTCTAAAGTAAACAAAACTTGAAGGTGAATTTTCTCTCTAGACACGGCAAAAACAAGCAGAAGCCAATTTTTCCTTTACAAGTCATTTAGATCAATTTCCTCATCTGTGGCAAAATGACAGCACAGCCAATATTTCTATGCAGAAGATTGCATATTTGTCCTCAGAATATTCTCAAATCTTCACAACTCCATCTAGAATAGAAATCTGGAACAGTTGCATTATTTGTTTTCTGTTGTGCGTATTTCCAACATACAACCTGATATTCTTCGCAAGCCACCCCTCAGAAGGCAATGTAATCTCAGACAATTTAAATATTTGTTAAATTATAGTAAGTAACTAGAATGTTACAATGTACATATAAAATCGTGTCAGCCACTTGACAACCTAAAAAGAGACTGTTTAAAAAAAACCTGTGAAGGAGAAAATGTCAGGTTGTATCAATGTGAATCATATACAATAAGTTATTTTTAGCAAAATGACTGAAGCCTGAGTTTAGATACCTATGTATATCCTTTAATCTCATTTCATGATGGGACACAAGGACAGGAGAAATTGATCAATTAGAAACATGGAGGGGTTTTTCGGTACTTGCATCAGTTCTCAGCACCAGTATGTGTCACAGCAAAATATAATTAATAGAATTTTGCAAGCAAAATTGTGGTTTCACCTATCCTTATAGCTGATGTCATTGCAACTCAAAATCACACCTAGAAAGAAATTCAAGAGCAATGGTTCTCAACTTTTTCCACAATAGGACCCCTGCAGAACCCCTCTTCCATTTAACAATGTGGGAAGGGCGTGGTGGTCATAAGACCCAGGTTGACAACCTCACGTTCTAGAGCAGGGGTCTCAAATTCAAACGACCACAAGGGCCGCATGAGGACTAGTGCATTGGCCCGAGGGCCGCATCACTGACACCCACCCCTTGCTGCCCCAGGCCCTGCCCCCACTCCACCCCTTCCATGAGGCCCCTTCCCTGCCCCCATTCCAACCCATTCCCCGAAGTCCTCACCCCAACTCTGCCCCCTCCCTGCCCCCAGGGGGTGCAGTAGGGGTGTGGGGTGTGATGGGGGCTCAGGGCAGGGAATTGGGGTGCAGCAGGGGATTGGGGTGCAGGGTGTGGCAGGGGGCTCAGGGCAGGGAGTTGGGGTGCGGGAGGATGTAGGCTCCAACCTGGCGCCGCTTACCTAGAGTGGCTCCGGGATGGCAGCACCACACACCATGGCCAGGACAGGCTTCCTGCCTGCCTGCCCTGGCCCCTGTCCCTGCTCCGCTCCAGGAAGTGGCCGGAGTCTGGGGGCAGGGAGAGACACTGACAGCTCCATATGCTGCTCTTGGTCCTTCAGGTACCTCCCCCAGAGCGCTCCCATTGGCCACGGTTCCCCGTTCCCAGCCAATGGGAGCTGTGGGGGGCAGTGTCTGGAAGCGAGAGCACAGAGCCCTTTACTCCCCCCCCCCCCTTTCCAGGCTGCAGGGACATAGTTCCAGCCGCTTCAGGGAGCGGGGCGGGGCTTGCGGCGCCACAAGGTAGGCAGAGGGGCAGGGGAGCGCACGGGCAGGGGGAGCTTGGCGGGCCGCACGAAAGAACCCCGCGGGCTGCAGGTTTGAGACCCCTGCTCTAGAGAAATCAACCATAGGATCACACAAGGAGGGCAAGTGTCTTTTGAGCCCTTCATTAAAACTCCAGGGGAATGCTCTAGCATCAAAGTTCAACTTCAAATATTGGAAAGTGACAGGTTCTGAGGGCAGGGGGGATATAGTCTAAGCCTATGTTTTGGCCTCACAGGTTAGGAGAAGCTGGTCAGACTTATCTTGAGAATGAGATGCTTTCCTGGGAGAAAGAACACTTTTTGCTTTTATGGTGTTTAGTGGAGGCAGTTAGGTGGTGTAGGAGGTGGCTGCAGCACTCACCTAGGAAGAAGTACAATCTTCCAAGGGCCTTAGTGCAACATAGTCCACATAGAAACCAGAAAAAGATGTTTTCCTTGTAGCAGAATGGAACCTGTTTGCTGGGGGCCTTGGATGTACCCAAGCACACAATTAGGCTGGGCTGGGCTGAACTGAATAAAAAAAAAAACCCACACTATCCTTGCCCTATCCTCTTAATGTAATATTTTTGTAAACAGCACTAATCAATTGTTTGGTTACAGTTGCAACATGATCTCCATATGAGAGCTACAAAATTATCCCATTCTTTCGGATTTGAAATAGCACTGTAAACTGTCAAAATTTTATCCCCAAACCTGTCATATATGCCAGCAGTTCATTCACTGGCTAGCATCACTAAGTACTCCTAAGCCTTGCTCCTTCCTCTTGCACACAAACTTGATTCTTTTGTCGGATCACTATTTTAGGACTGCCCTGGGTGAAGGTTTATGGCTATATAATTCTGAAATGCAAGTCAGTGTGCTGTGGGACTGCTTGCAGAAGAGACTTGGATAAAACTATAGAGAGGTTCCAACTACAGCATACAATCCAGTTACATGAAAATACCCATCATCCCTCGAGTTATTCTAGTGTTAATACAATATTAATATGCTCCAATATAAATTTTTTATTTAAAAGACAAGTAAAAAATGTGTGCACAAATACAGGAAATGATTACACAGTATAATGTTCAAAATAGCGTTCTAGGTGAAGAAGAAAAATACAGTAGCAACAGTATTCAACTAGAAGAGCACCCAGAGTCCAATTTGTATACAAAAATGAGGTTACTCCACATAAACACATCATGATTCTGATGTAGACAGTTTATCTTTACAAGATACAACCTACTGTACTTGACTGTCCACGCCTGATTTCCCTGCTAAATATGCTAAGACAGCCTCTACACATTTAACAACTTAAAAAAAATTAACAGTTAATGTCATGGCACTTAGAGTTTAGAAGAGAAAGTAAAAAATAGACTTGCAGTGACAATTGTTTAAAATATATATCAATCACTTTTTTTTGTTAACTAAGTTGATACTAAAACAGAAGGCAGATCTTAAGGTTAAAATACATAAATAAAAAGATGTGTATCTTCTGTAACATTATCTATAAAAAATGTTTTTGCATCAAGCACAAAAACTTCAAAGTGAGAATTCCATTCATCTTTATGTATATGATGAAAATCTGAAAATACACTTCCCTATATAAAACCGTTTTTCACTGAATATCCTATGAATTTAAGTCACTGTACAGAGCCCAGTTCATTCCTCATTGATAGCAGCCTTTGAGTTTAATACCAACAAATTCCAGACTTCTATACAGATGACGGCTTTACAAGTCAAAGGCTAAATACTTCAAGATTATCCCAAATTTAACTTGTGTAGTGAAAAAAACCTTTAAGATTTAAATAGATTAAAGCCTAAAAAGCAGCTTCTGATTTTAAGGGCCCAACTTGAGACATCTTACAAGAGCATTATTTTCATGAGAGGGGTGGGCGGCGCAAACTCAGTATTTCCCAAAAGTTGAGGCACCCAAAACAGCTTGTCAGTTTTGAAAATGTAGCCTAATATATTTTTTCAAATATTAGTCCTACAATGTATCTTGTAAACAAAAGTGGCCTAGGTACTGTACTATGGGCATGTACCAAGTAGTGTCAATCTCTTTTATTAAAGCTACTAAGTCAGTGTCCGAAACAGTTTAAGTATACAAATGAAGATAATTCACACCACCAAAACTGAAATTATAGTGTCAATGCACTATAGCGTTCAAGGGAAAAAACAGCAGCAGAGGGGAGGCTCATTAACCTTAGGTAACTCTTGCTAAAGGCTTGTTTACATGGTTCTTGCAATGACATCAATGCAAACTAGGTACCTTTTAGAGCAGGCCAGCAAGGTGTACACAGTGCAGAATATTAGTGCACTCTACAAATCACCCCCCCTAATGTGCTTTGCCAGCACAGTGTAGACAAGCCCTAAGGTATGTTGCGTTTTCAGAATAGTGTTCTATTAAGTCTGCTTTTACTAATACTTAGCAGTTTAGCTTTAGCCATTTATATAGATTTGACTCAATGTCTCTTAACATCCCTTTTCCTTTAAAACCAAGCATAAAATATATTTGGCATCTCTTCAGCCAGTATATCCCTCAGATTCAAAAAAATAATTTGAATATTTAGCTATCCATATGGACATTTATAAGAATCTCACTTCCAATCAAGTCACTTCTTGTTTAAATTACTTTCATTTATTCCAATTTTTCCTGCCAGTTAGCTCGAGTCCATTGTGGACACCTAAGATTTGGAAGAGATTATTCATAAATTGAAAAACACCAAAAAAAGTTCAGGAGTCACTGTGGCTAGTCCTTCCACTTTTCAGATACTGGGTTACATGAATAAAAAACATGCACTCTTTTTTCCACTGGGAAGATGGAACGCTTTTCCAACAGCATGGCAATAAGATTCTATTAATTTTACTGTCTTCTCCTTAGCTAGGCTGTAGCTGTAAGATAACCATTTCAGATCTACCAAAACTTAAGGAATAAATAGCATGAGGTCCTACATTCTTGAATATTAGCTGCCCATTTCTGCTAAAAAGAATTCTCTATGCAGATTTTTTCCTTAAAAAAAAAAAAGTAATGAAGTGAGTTCCACTCATTTAAACTGATACTTTACATCACTTACAGCCCTTGCTGAAAGGGACAGGCTTGGAAAGGCACTCACTTTTCACATGCCAAAGTGTGTGCGTTACCTCCGGTTATCAATCAGAAGTAGCTCAGGAGTGGAATCTATTCATTCAATTACATGAGCATTATCTTCTCTTGGAACAGAATCAATGTTCCATAGTCCAAGAAAGCAGCCACTCTCCTTCGCTCTACCCATTTTAAAGAACTGCTGTCCTACTGTCCTTTGAGTGTATGGGGAAACACTACAGGTTCAACTGTAAACGTGGAAAGATCAGTGTACATAGCAAAGTTGGAGGAGAGAGGCTTTAGAAATTACCAGAACTGAAGTCTTGTCAGTCTTGCTGTTAAAATGCAAGTATTAATGGCTTTTAATGCTGTTTCATTATGTGCCCTAATGCAACACATGCTCTTAAAGCAGTAAGAAGATTTTTCTTTAAGCAGACAACTACATTACTTACAGCAGTTTAAACAGAAAAATCCACTAGCTAAGAGTTAGCAACAATGGCTACTTCTATATTAAAATTAGACTTTGGCAAGATTGCTGGTAGATTAACATTTCAAATTTTTTTTTTGCAACCTAACACAAAAAGTTCGGCATGATAGCAAGTTGTAACAACCAAGATTAAAAATCTCTGACTCCACAGCTGGTGGCAAGGATAAAATGTTTTTCATTTGATACAAGTGCAACGAAATGGCAAGTTGTTTATCCATGCAGAAAACAAGTGATAGATGCAATATATGGCACAGTCCAGAAACGAAAGATCAGACACATTCCTCAGCTGACATCAAAAGAGGATTAATATATTCAAAGCCTTCAAATTCAGATTGGTCAATCTTCTTCACAATATCACTGTTAAAATAAAAACTAGTTAGTATCTTGAGTTAACAGAAAATTGCTACTTGCAATATTACTCGACTAAGAGTATCAAAGTTGTATAAAAAGGATTAGGAAACTAAAGCATAAAGAATTGGTCTTAAACTTTAGAACCCTAAGGAGGACATTCTTTCATAGTCCTCTGAGGAACTGGAGTCAAGAAGTTGCAGGGAAGCGAGCAACAAACAAATGCATAAGAGAACAGGCAACAGCCCTGTTCTGGTCTTCAGACAGGTAACAAAGTAGGCCCAGACAGTCAATCTCAGTGCAGCAAACTGTCTCACACTAACTTATTTCTTTGCCAGCCTCTAAACACAAAGTTACTTCTGGCTTCAAACCATGTTCTGCCCTCCCAGTGGCTGCTGCGGTCCCTGCTCTTTATCAAAGAGAGGTGGGGGCTGGACACGGCATACAGAGGTGGTGTTCCAAACTTGAAGGAAAAAAAGTATGAGGCTGGCTCCATTTAGGAGAGCTGACTTGGCTTCTCCTGCCCTTAGGTCCTTCTGGCACAGCGCTCTCTACCTAGGTCTGCTAGGTTAAACCCTTCTAGAATGGATGGGGTCTTAAAAAAATTAAGAAATTAGTTACTACTCCTCTCAGTGTATCTTCACTTAACTATCTCAAGCAAGATACTTATTTACAATAAGCGTGAGGGGAGAGTCAGGCTGTCAGTCTTTAAGACGTCCTCAATATTTGAACAATAATCATTATGGAACATTTGTATCGGCTGATAGTGCTTACAAGTTACTCATGTATAACGTTCCAAAGTTATTTCATTAAATACTATAGAAAGCCCTCAAGCTCCTAAAATAAAGAGAGCAGTCTGTTTTAGGCTAATTACTAAGGGAGACAGGAAAGGCAAATCTTACTTGTGACTGAATTTTCTCCCTCAGGCCCTACTGGGACAGCAGGGAAGTCTAAGTTACACTGTCAGCTTTATCTGAGTTAACCAGCATCTGAATGGGACTTTTCAATCCTGTTAAGGTAACTACATCTAAGATGACTGGGGGGCGGGGGGGAGGGATGAGAGAGACGGACAAAAGAACCCCCAAAACCCACCCTTTTTTCTTGTCAAATACCAAGAGTGTTTGAGAGACAAATTCTTAGACTGTAGTGTCCCAAGAAATCAAATGATGAAATTTAAACAACCCCAAAAATCTTGGTTTTAAAGATGGACCAGACTGCAAAATATGGCTTGTGTTCATAAGCACCAACTCAGTGGGTGCTGAGCTCCCACTGGCAGCCCCCCTATCAGCTCCCTCCCTGCCCCCCTCAGTGTTTGCTGCCCACCAGCAGGCCCTGCTGATCAGTACCTCCCCATCCCTCCCCACCATGATCAGCTGTTTCGTGGCATGAAGGAGGTTTTGGGAGGGAGGGGAAGGAGCGAGGGAGCAACCTGCTGGGGGAGAGGAAGGGGGCAGTGCCTTGGAGGAAGGGGTGGAATGGGGGTGGGGTCTGGGGCAGAGTCAGAGGTCGAGCACACCCCAGCACACTGGAAAGTCAGCACCTGTGCTTGTGTTAGCAAAATGGCTCTTTGAAGAGGATACCCTCAAGACTCCACCTCCAAAAGAGCACTCATTGACTGTCTCCATAAACATTTTAAACACTTTGAGAGCATCTTTTCCACTCCCAAAGTTTTTGTAATGATGCCTTGGTGTAAAATTTGGTTCACTTTTTCCAAGTCTAGAGAGAACCACAGTGAATGGTAGTTCCCACACCCCAGCAGCAGACTGCAATAAAAACCCTGTAGGTACATCTTTTATGAAGCCAATCAAACTGATCTTGCACCTTTATAATTTACTAACTTTTTAAAGAAAGGTTTTCTTAAGTTTGAGTTACTTACTCATCATCTGGAGTGAGCTGGACAGGTTCATTAGTGAACTGGGAATCAAAGTTATCCAGACCAAATTCACCTGATATATTTGGTTTAAATGGAGGAACCACCTGTTTTTGTTCCATCTAGAAATAAATTAAAGTAAGTATGAGTAACAGCCTATCAGAGATTATATTTATGTTTTAAAAAAGAACTGAGTTCTGAAAAGATTACTTAAATTTCTTGTTTGTATTTTACAAATATTCCAGCAAATTAAATTTCTGTGGTTACTGTGTGTAAAAGGGCTAATGGAATCTACATCCTCTCTTCACAGTATAGTTTAAAAACAGTTACAAAAATTATGAAGTTATCAAATTTGGCATCCCTTTTAACTTTCCGTTAAGACAAGCTATCAGGGTTATACTGCATATAACAGAAAAAACCCAGCAGTGTTTACATACCAGATCCCAATCAACATTGCGGAAGAATGGATGTCCCTGAATATCTGCAAATCCTGTTTGAGGATGGCAGCCTAAACGTTCCTTTGGATCCTATGGAAGAACAAAAATGTTTCAAAGTGAAAAATCATTTGGAGAATGTGTGATCTCTAGCACACAATGATAAAGTTACTCATTATAGATGTCATAAGACACACTAATGTCAAAGCTGTAAGGTGTATTAGGCTAATGCACTGGCCAAAGTAGCCCTAGTCTCAAATTTAAATTGCAAGTGTTTTACTCCGCCTTCAGAAATAAGAAAAATCGCCTAATATACGCTGTAATTCAGTTACAACCTTCTATATTTGGTTATATGCCGCCTCTCCCCTGCCCCCCCCCCCCATTTTTTTTTTAGTTAAGATGTGCAAACATCAAAATATATTGCATGCTTGGGACCCAGGTCACAGATAAAGTTAACTGATGGAAGATTATATTGCTGGTTTCACTGTGAGTCTCCTACAGACTTCCTCGGCTCAGAGACAACCATGCTCCAGCAAGCGTAATAGGACAGGAGGAGGGAAAGAGATGAACAATGGAACTTCAAAGGATAATAGCATCCCCTGAAAAATGCTTCATTACTTAAGCCAAGTAGTTCTTAGTTGGGTACTGTTAAGGATGGCTACTTCCAACGTAATACCACTGAAATTTTAATCATTTAAACAAAAAGATTTAAAAAAATAAAAAGTCCAAAAGTCAGCATCAAGGTGTGTTTTTCTTCTAGGTTTCCACAGCTATTTTTGTTTAACAAAAACCTCCATAGCTCAGATGAGTTGGTAATGCTCCAAATTTAAATGAAGCAATCCTAACAAGCCTAGTTTGTGAACAAATCTGTGGGTTAGTTGTAGATGAGCTGCAGCAATGCTATAGCACAGTGGTCTCCAACCTTTTTACGCCCAAGATCACTTTTTGAATCTAAGGGCAACCTAGGATCTACCCCGCCCCTTCCCCAAAGCCCTGCCCCACTCACTCCATCTACCCTCTCTGCCACTCGCTCTCCCTACCCTCACTCACTTTCACCGGGCTGGGGCAGGGGTTTGGGAGGGCACTCTGGCTGAGGGGTTCGCAGTGTGGGAGGGGGCTCTGGGCTGAGCCTCAGGCAGGTGGTTGGGGTGCAGGAGAGAACTCCGGGCTGGGGTAGAGTGTTCGGGTGCAGGGGGTGGGCTCTGGGGGGGTCGGGGGGGGCTTGGGGTGCTGGCTCTGGGAGGGGGCTCAGGGCTGGGGTGCAGGAGGGAGCTTGGGGTGCTGGCTCAGAGGGAGCTCAGGGATGGAGGTTTGGGTGTGGCCTCCCGCCGGGCAGCACTTACCTCCAGTGGGTCCCGGTCAGTGGCGGGTGCAGCAAGGCTAAGGTAGGCTCCCTACCTACCCCGGCCCCACGCCGCTCTCGGAAGGGGCCAACGCGCCCCTGTGGCGCCGCATGCTGCCCCTCTCTGCAAGCACCGCCCCTGCAGCTCTCCTGGCCAATGGGAGCTGTGGGGGCAGTGCTTGCAGGCAAGAGCAGCGTGCAGAGGGAGACCTCTGCCCCCGGGACAATGGGGCTGCGCTGGCTGCTTCCGGGAGCAGCATGGGGCCGGGGTAAGCAGGGAGTCTGCTCTAGCGGCAGGCACACTGCACCACCGGAGATCGCGATCGACTGGGAGATCCTCTAGGATTGGTGACCGCTGCTATAGCATCTACCCAGTTCCTGTCATTTTTTCAAGCAATTTATTTTTAAATACCAAAGACACTAAATGAGATAGACTTTGTTGTCACATTTGAAAGTGAAGTTTGTCAAGCCCAGAAACATGCATTCAAGTCCTTCACTAACATGGGGTGAGGCATTTTGTTCTGAAATAAGTCTTAAGTGATCTCTCAGATCTCTCCCTTCTGAAATATTCTGGCAATTCTGTGGAATTTTGCATGGAAACACACATCAAGTCCACCTACTTCCAACTATTCAGAATAATTATGATCTAGCAGACCATACAGTACCAGAGAATTTCAGAAGTGATGTTTCAAAAATTATGGTAAAAATCTGTTTCCCCAATGCCTAGTCAATATGGCCATTCTGTGCATTCTAGGCCTTTTATTTTGTGGCTTACCCATTAGGTCTGAATATCTGCAAAGTTTCAGGTTTTAAAAACAGTTAAACAGTAAAAAAAGCCAAACATATGTCAGTTCCATCTATTAAGAATTCTGTTTTAGAAAAGCCCTTCCCAGGCTCAGACCTTGTCTGATGAACTTCAGCTTAGGGGCAATTTTAATTTCAGTTCCACCCTTGTAAGTGTAAATTGACAATCAGAGCTCTTGAAAAACCTCAGTCCAAATATAGGGCTTTAGCTCTTACCTTGTTAAGAAAACTTTTTAGAACACTTGCTGCTTTAACAGAAAGGGATCGTGGAATACGGATTTGTTTTTCCAAAATGACTAGAAGAATAGAGAATTTAAGACATCAGCACATTGTATGGTTAAAGTTTCTTCTCTTTGTAAAACATTTTGTAGAGAAAACAACACACTAAATAAAGTGGATGCCGCTTAATAGCAACCCTAATATAAACAACTTTCTGTTAACAGCAACATTTTGCCAGGAACCAATGAACCAATCCCATCCCATTAATTAATGTTAATGGGATTTCATACTGGCAATGGCATGCCACGTACTGAACGTTTTTTTTTGGGGGGGG